ATTTTTCACCCACGTGGCATTTTATTAGCCATTCCCTCTTTCTTTTCAACTCTTTTTCCCCCTCTTTTTTCCCTCTCTTTTTCTTTCTCCAACCTCCTCTTTCTCAGTTTCTCACTTTCTCACTTTCTCTCGTTTCTTCTCGTCAACTCTTACCCCTTCTTTTGTTTTTTCATTCCATCTATTCTCAGTTACCATTTTTTCTCTAATTCCTCTCTTGCAGCTCTCTCGTGGAAGGCTGGAATGAAATTTTATTATATTTTTTTCTTTTTTCTTTAATAAGTCGGTCGGTTGGTTCCTTTGATTTTTCACAGTGAAAAACCGACACCGACCGATTCATCTTTTAAACCGACGGTCGGATCGGTTTTTCGGTCTTCTATGCTCACCCCTAATTATTATTCCACACTATTAGATTATATTATTTGAAATAGGTTTCTTATTTGAATTATGATTTAGGATTATTTGAAATAAATAGGTTATTGAGTTTGTATCTATTCACAACCGGAAACTCTATTTGTTATTAATTCTCTTTATTTTCTCTATTCTCCTCAAAGTTAACATGGTATCAAAATCTCCAAAAGTGGACAGTGAATGAAATTTGCTGCCTAATTAGAGTTGGTCTGACTACAAATAATTTACAATCATTGAAGTTTTCAACATAAGTTAATTACACGAAGTTCAGCCAAAATGGCGGCATGGTATTTTTTTAGGTCCAAGTTTTCAATTGATTTTCGAATTGGTGAATTGTAAGGTTTGGAAACTTGAATTCTTTGAGTGGATTGGATGGCCCTTTCGTTTTCATGTTCAGCAAAATTAAATATTAGATTTCTTTTCCTCTTGTGCTTATTATTAGTGGTTCTTGAATTTTCAATTGCAAGTATTTTGAATCTGCAAGCAAACTTACAGATTGAGTTGTTGGCGTTGGCCCTATATATTTTTTTTTTTAAGAATAATATGTTAACTAATTCCACATCAACATTCTTTACTACTGTCGCACGTTATTATACTAAAATGTTAGTAGTCTTCAAGGATTTACAAACAATCTATAATGATTTCGTTCACTTTTCTCTCAAGAAAAATGTTCATGAATCATTCTACATGCTTCTTGAAACTCTTCAACGAAGGTTGGACAAAAGTTTCTCCGTAAATAACTGACGCAAATTTTCTATTAGGATAGATCCATTTTCTTGTAGTGACCCATGAAAGAACCCTCTCTCTCTACCCTCTGTACAAACAAAAGAAAAACTTCTCTATTGTGTGAAAAAAAAAGGAAAGGAAAAGGCTTGGTCCCTTAAATTAAAAGACCACTTATTAAATATTTACCAACTACGAGAGAAAAATAAAAGAATAAAAAATATATTAAAAATAATTAATTGTCAAACATTTACCCCTTGTTTGGAAGCTGGGATTTTCAAATCAGAATGATTTTAAAATCATTTCTCTTGTTTGGTTGGATTAAAAAAAAATGTAATTTGAAATCCAATATGATTTGAAATCTCATTTTATCCCAAAAAAATTTCCATCCAAAATAGGTAGGATTTGTTAGGATTTTAATTGAAAGTTGACCATATTACAATTTTACCCTTGAAATAATTGAAGAAATCAAACTGAACCAAAAAAAGAACGAGACCAACGTGGGGAGGATGAGATGAGATAAAAAGAAACGAAAATGGTGAAGGATGTATAAAAAGAAGAGAGAAAAGAGAGAAAGATATAGAAAGAGAAATGGAGAAGAAGGTATAAAAAGAAAAAGAAAAATGGAGATGAAGAAATAAAAGGGAGATGAACAAAGAGGAGGAATAAGAAAAAATGGAGGCAATGAGACAGGAGAACAAAAGATCATACAAAAAGAAGAGTAGAGTTTTGATACAGAGGAAAGTTATTACGATTGTTTTTTATAATTATAAAGGCGTAATGATAAAATAAATATTTTATTTTCATTTTCTATCATCATCCAAACAAAAAATTTTATTTTGAACTAATTTGAAATTCATCAAAATTTGTTAGGTTACAAACATAATTAAAAATTCGAAATTATTTCTACAATTTAAAAATCTGAAATTTGAAATAATTTCTCAGGATAAGTTCCTCCTGAAGAGTCAAGTTTTTTTTAAAAGGAAATGTCGGCGTACTAAACTAAGAAATTAAGACAATGCGTTTTGGGCTTTCTTTTGCTTTTAAGCCCACTAAGCTCCTTCATTTGGTTGTTATTTTGACTCCATTCTCCTAACAGATGTAGGCCGACCTGCTTTCAGGTTGGTGAAAATAACTAATTCTTTCTGTCTCGTTTAATTCTTATTTAACTTTCAATACGAAATATTTATAAAAATTTTTGGGAAATTATTTAAAATTTCTTTAACTACTTAAAAAATATAATTCTAATAGAAAATAACTCACCAAATTTTTCATTTTCTCATTTCTTTTCTTTGAATATATACCATTGAACGAACTAATAGTGAACTAGTTATAAAATCATATTTTTTATTAAATAAATTAATATCAAACATAAAGATTTACTATATAGTAATTGATATTAATTAAACTTTCCTTTTTAAATAATATTACTTGTATGGAACGTTATCTTCACATCAATATATTTGAAATTACATTCATATATGCTCATCTAACACAAAATTCTAGATTTGCCATTATGAACACCAACCATTTAATGAAAGCTAGTGAAAAATTAAAGTTTGAATATTAAAGACAACACAGAGAAGTAGGTAGGAATATGAAAAGTGAGAAATTAAATAATAGGATCCTCATATTTCTTCGCATCTTTTTGTTGATACATGAATCTAGCATAAGGTGTCAGGTCATGTCAATGAATGAGTCGAAGTGAGCTACCGACGAGATAGTGATCTAGAAATAGAATCTAGCATCGATCAATTATGTACCCTCCAAATTTCAAGTTAGAAGTTAGACCAACATGGTATAGAGTTTAACTTAATAAAGGTTGCATAGAGATTGTGTACGTTTGAAAATGTGGGACTCCACCTTATATAAAGGAGCTTCGGAAAGTGCAACCATATCACTCTGACACATGTATCTGTTGTCAACGAATTTTTCATAGCACCACCCACCTTCTTTAGAGCCGCAGAGTTGGCAAAATTTCCTTCGGAGTATCCCCATTTATAGCTGGATGGAAGCCGACATGGACTGTCTTTCAGGTCGATGAAAAGTACTAATTCTTTCCATGTCACTTTGTCTTGACTTAATTGAGTTGAGGTCCGAACATGTATGTGTTCCTAAACAAGCGGTACACACATGACAGGCTCGAACACACCGACAATAACACCTTCGACCTTACGAGTCCATAAATACTAGTAGAAGGGTTTGGCAAAGAAAAACACCCACAATATATTCCTCTTTTATTCTCCACTAATTCCCACACATATCATTCCTCTCAAAACCAAAAAGAATGAAGACACTTCCGATCACAGGCCTTTGGCTTTTGGTGGTGGCGATCATGGCGCTTCTCACCGGAGCTCATGTGGCAGAGGCGGTGACTTGCAGTCCTTTGCAGCTGAGCTCGTGTGCCGGGGCAATTTCATCGTCGACGCGGCCATCGGCCAGTTGTTGCAGTAAGCTGAGAGAGCAAAGGCCATGCCTTTGTGGGTACTTGAAGAATCCAAACTTGAGGCCTTACGTGCAATCTCCCGGCGCCAAAACTGTTGCTTCTGCCTGTGGCGTTGCCTTCCCCAGCTGCTAGACCCATGCTTGGGGATCGAAAATGGGCTTAACTTCTTATGGAAATTAAGTTGCATGGTACCTATTACAAAATCAAAACTAGTATGAATAAAAGGAAAATGATCATAAAATGTCTACTTTATCTATGCTTTAATTTTTATATGTTTTGTCTAAAAAAAATTGTCTTTAAACATGAACTATCATTATTACTATAAAAGAAATGAAATATTGTGACAATAAGAAAGTCGATGCATCATTGTGTCATTTGTAGTCCTTTTTCAACCCAGCACCACAATACAAACACATGATCTCCCGCTCTGATACCAATTCAATGATGAATAACTATCACTCAACCCAAAATCTTAAACTTATATATTGGGTAAACTTAATTCATTTACAAGTCTCCCAACAAAAATACAGAAAGAAAAATATTTAGGTGATTACTGATCAGCACTCTAACCACCATTAAATTTTTTCACACGTATTTGAAAGAGAAATGAATAAAAAGGGATTTTCTTTTCCATTTTTCAAATAAACTAAGAAAATGTAAAATTTTGATTGTTGGTTAGGCGTAGCAATCACTTGAGTGTTGTTCTTAAAGAAATGCACAGGTGAAAGTTAGTGTTTAGAAGTTTAACTTTAAAAGATAGAAAAAAAAAAAAAAAGTTAACTTAGACGTGGCGCCGCTTCATAACTGTTTCATATTTTTTGTTTCCTATTTATTTATAAATTATGGTGCTCCCTAGGAAATGATATCCAAAAAATGATATTTTCTCACCATTTATTGGGTATGTTTTTCACATTTCTTAGAAAACACTCCCAATTTGTAAAAACAAAAACAACTATTTTTTTCCCCAAAAGTTGACTTAGGTTTTGATAATGTGATTACAAAACAAAGAAATGCATGGGTGGAAGTATTGGTTGTAAGCTTAATTTTCAAAATCACATAACCAAAAATAAAATAGTTATCATGGCCTTACAGTCTGAGGAGTGGCATTCCATTACAATTATCTACTTTCTAGATCAAGAAATTGAATTTCAATTATCTGTGGAAACATAATAAATTGGTATTTTAAATTTCGATGAGTTTTAGATTGAGCAAACTTTTAAAATTTTATAATTATATATTTAAATAATGTAATTTTAGATGAGAAATTAAAAATTTGGTTGAAATTGTGTATACACGATTTTAACCCAACTATCGTAGATTGACCTAATAATACTGGAGCATGGTATAAAAAGGTAAAGAAATTTTTATAGGATGATCAATTATTTAAATCTACATACCTATCTAAGATATTAAAATCTTACACATTTTTTAAAGGTTTATGAAACACGATTTCAAAATCATTGCAATGTACAGAATAATAATAATAATAATAATAATAATAATAATAATAATAAATAATACCCTAAATTTATAGTCATGTATTGGAGAAATGCATCCCAAGCCAAAATATCACAATTCACAAGTACAACCACGTCCTAGACCATGGCAAGAAAAACTATAACCAAAATTTTTGTTTTCTGGCATTAATTAGGAACCTATGCTCATGTAAGTCACCTTTTACTAAAATGGATGTAATTATATGTAAATCTAAACTAATAACATAATAAATTAAGAAACTGTCAGGTCCTATGATTGTTTAGTTGGTTAACTATTCATGATAGTACTATTATCGGCATTTAACCAACTAGACAACCATCAATTCGTATTGAACATCGTGTCGTTGGTTAAAGATTTTAAACTCAAAACTATAATATTTTTTATTTAACATATATATATTCTATCTCATAAACTATTCAAATTGAGTTTAAAAAACATGGAAAAATAGGTATTCAAACTCACAGCTTATTGATAATATATATTTAATCAATTATGCTATATTCTGGTTATCTTTTTTTTTTTTTTAAATTTAGCTTAAAAGCTAAAGTTTTTTTTTTCGGAGGAATAAAAAAAAAAGCTAAAGTTGAATTTGGAACTTTTTGTAAAAAATGGAGGGACTAACCTACAGTACTTGTCGGTAGAGAAATAAACACAAACCCAACAAACAAGCTATAGACCCACTTGATAAGAATGAAGCCCACGAGCAAAGGAGAAATTCTAGATGGGCAAAAATAAGAACGGAAACCTGAATTCATAAGTCCAATAGAGGAGTGGTGGCACGGAACCCGACCAACCAAGACCTGACATAGGCCGACCAGTGGTCAGCCGACGACCGTCCGACGTTTGGAAGAATAGGCCCCGTGCGTAAGCCAATAAGATTCTTTCTCTTTGCATTCCGCCCGCGATGATGCTACATCCAAAGTTCAAGTTAACTAGGTTTCTTAGGAAGAATAGGATATAGATTCTTATAAATAGAAGGGAGAACTCAACCCTAAAGGGTCGTTTGTTTCGTGGAAATCCCATGAGACAGACATCTAGATTCCCATATTTATTTTGCGGGAATGTAAGATATTCAGGTATCTCAATATGCCCGATTATCCAAGGATATCCACACGGGAGGCATCCGAGTTGTTTTGGATGCCCTTTTGAAATATGGATTTCCATGATTCCCATGTCGAAAACATCCTATGTTGATATTTTTGCCCCTTCATTATTTTTTTTATATTTTGTTTTATCAAATTTCTTTACTTTTATTTGTAATTTTATAATTTAGATAAGTTAATGTACTAAATAATAAATAATTTTATGCAATTAAGTATATTTATATATTACATGTACATCTAAAATAAACTTCAATTAAATTATATAATATCTTCCTTTACTTTTAATATTTGGAAGCAATATTTTTCTATTGATCAGTTTATATTTGATATTTTCCTCCTTAAAAGAATATAATTTGATAATATAATAAATGAATTTCATTTTAGAAAACATTAATTATATAATGGTATATTTTGGAAAATATTAAAGTAGAGAATGATATTTATATTCAATATTAATATTCGTAAGGACATTTTTGGAACATTATATAAATTTAGAACATTTCCATGAATAAATAATTAAAACAAATATGGTTATCCAGATATTTCCAGACAATTTAATATTTTTTTACGAAACAAATGTACTCATATCGGACATGTAAAATTAAGGACATTTAAAATTTGAGACGTCTACCTTCCAAAAAAATAAATGATGCTTATTCAGTTTGCAAGTCAATCCAACCAATCAAATTTAAGCATCGACAATATTTAAAATGCAATGAAGGAACTAAGAGGCTAAAAAATTTTTAGGAACCAATACAATGCGTTTAACCTCAATATGTATTTTTAAAATATTATAGCATTCAAACTTAATTCGAAGGATGTTTAAAAAATGTTTGAAATCTTATTATTAAAATATTATTTTTGAAGTTTTGAGAGATTACTTTTGCAATAAGTTTAAAAGTTTTTTTTCCCCCAACGGCACGGGAAATAAGTTTGAAAGCTATAATCCTTTTAAAATAGTAATACTAAAAAAAAAATTCCCAAATATTTAAGCTTGTAACTTATCTAAATTAAAATGCCTAAAAAAAAAACTTATCTTTTTTTTTTTTAAAGAAAATTGTCTAAATTAAAAATTCTAGTAAATTGTAACTCCGCTGTCATTTTCTCACTCTCCTTCTTCCCCATCGAAACCCTAGTCCCCAAAACTCCGTCACTTACGTCGCAAGCCCTAGCCTCCGGATTCTCCATTTTCTGCGCAATGGTTCAGCCAACAAATCCTTCCAAATTGCGATGGGGGGAGCTAGATGACGACGATAGTGATCTTGATTTTCTCCTTCCACCGAAGAAAGTTATTGGGCCAGACGAAAACGGGTTGAAGAAAACTGTTGAGTATCAGTTTAACGAAGATGGTAATAAGGTCAAGATCACAACGACCTCTCGGACTCGCAAGCTTGCGCATGCTCGCCTGAGCAAACATGCCGTGGAGCGCCGATCTTGGGCCAAGTTCGGCGATGCTGTGCATGAAGATGTCGGCAGTAGGCTCACTATGGTCTCCACTGAGGAGATTCTTCTGGAGCGCCCTCGTGCTCCTGGTTTGCTTTCGAAAACTCTTGAATTACGTTGCTTTCGGATTTGCATGTATTTGTTTGCTGTGGCGGCAAGTACTTTTAATTTAGTTATGAAAGTGTGCCATTTGTTTCTATGTGGGAGCTTTGTAGAATTTCCTACAGCTGGAGAAAAAGAGGGGTTTTTCTTAAGGTTGCAGTGGTGTTTGAGCTTTAGAAAACTGTGATACTTGATTACTGGAAGTGTGTAAACGTATTTGGTTTACAATTGAAACGAAAAGAGAGAATTGCCTTTAATGGTGTGAAGAGGGTGACATAATTTCCGCAACTTGCATATGGGTTATGTTCTTTTGGGAATTACAGGGTTATGCTTTGAACTGAATACTTAAAATCTTCCATATTATTTTCTCTATATAAACCCCCAAATCCCAATGATATTCTGTTCAAGGGAGATATTAAATCCTAGGGATCTCTCTGTGCCTTTCTTTTGACATTTTGGTTTGTAAATGTGCTTTTTGCACTTCTAATAGGTGATATCGGTGTTGTTTGTTCTCTGTACGGTACACTTTTGATACTCTGCTCACATTAATCCTTTATTGGCGAAATGAAGCATATCTTATTTCCTTGTTACAGCCTTGTTACAGTAAGATTTCTTTTAAAGAATGAAAACGATTACAGGTAGCAAACCAGAGGAGCCAAAGGTTGCAGGAGACCCTTTAGCTCAATTGGGAAAGGGTGGTGCTGTTCTTATGGTCTGTCGTACTTGTGGTAAAAAGGGTGACCATTGGACCTCAAGGTGCCCTTACAAGGACCTGGCACCACAAGCTGATGGATTGGATAAGGCTGTTGCACCAGAGGCTACCACCGCTGCTCCTGGTGCAACAAAGGGAACGTATGTTCCTCCTGGTTTGAGACCCGGGGCAGAGAGGACTGGAACTGACATGAGACGTAGGAATGATGAAAACTCTGTTCGTGTGACCAACCTTTCAGAGGACACTAGAGAGCCTGACTTGCTTGAGCTTTTCCGACCTTTCGGTGCTGTTAGCCGAGTTTATGTTGCTGTTGATCAAAAGACTAGCATGAGTAGAGGATTTGGTTTTGTGAACTTTGTGAACCGTGAGGATGCCCAAAGATCAATTAACAAACTCAATGGATATGGTTATGATAATCTCATCCTTCGAGTTGAGTGGGCCACTCCAAGGGCGACTTAAGGTAGGATTTCTCTCAAAATCTCTTGTGATTTGCTTACTCTTGTAGTAAGATGTTTCTATCCTAACATTTTGTTAATGCCTTTGAGATTCCTTGACCCAGAAAATGATTTAATCAAATTCTTTCTGTCCTTGATAATCTAATTCTAGTTGTAGTAGAATTAACTCAATGTCTCTGTGAGTTTACTTATCTGATTTGTTGAAGTCGGGAGGAACGGCAATGTTTATCACATTTTCTTAGAGCGAAAATAGTATAGAAAATAAAATATGAAAAAACGTGAAGGAAAAAACATTGCTACTGATGAAGCTTCATACTTTATTGGACACCATGTTTTGACATTTGCACATTTACAATCTTGAGAATAAGCCATATGATATAATATGTTCCATATTTGTTAAGCAGGCGTGAGAAGCAATACTATTCAGTCTCAATGAAAGTGGGGTTCAAGAAATAAAGCTATCCTATTCAGTCAAATTCTGCCTTTTAATTTTGAGCCTCTGAAATATGTCTGAGGTTCAGTCCCAAGGTACTAGAGGTGCTTTTGATCAAGAGAAAATCTCTATTATGTTCTGGAATTGGTTTTGGAATTTGTGTGTCGTTACTTGGTGTTTAGTACGGTGGAGCCCAAATTTATATAACATTGCTTATTGAGTAAGTTGTGAGTTTAAGATTTTATTAGAGATAGTACTCCGAAGGGGGCAACCCAATTGACAAGGGTTTGGGATCTTTTGGTTATACCGGTTTATTGGTAGAACGGTTCATCAAATCAATACGAACAAATAGAAAAATGTTATGTTATTTTGTTGCAAAGGTAAACTTGTGGGATTTTAAATTTTTGGTTGGCATTCAACCATGGTATGAATGTATTTGTTTATAAGTTTTCATACTTTTACACTTGTCTCAAGTACCACTGTTAGGCTTGGGCCAGCTCAGGTTGGTTATTAGCAAGGGTGAAATCGGGTCGGGTTTTGGGGAAAATCAACCTGAATTGAATCTGTTTCAGTCAAAACCGAACCAACTTTAAAGTTTTTGGGTCAAACCCGACCCTTATTGAATTTGGTTTTTTTTTCTCTCTCTCTCTCTCCTTCTAAACCTAGAATTTTTTCCCTTCTAACCCTAGAATCTTTTTAATGAAAGCAACACATTAAACCCACCATTCCAAAACCAGAAACTTCCTTTTTTTTCTTTTTTTTTTTGGGGAAACAAGACATTGGATTTGATGAAAAAGATTGGGTCAAGAAAATAGTGGTGTATTGAGTCAAAAAATTGGGTACTATCGGAAATTCCGAAATTGAGTCTCCTTCTCTCCTCACCACACCATTGGTCATTGCCACATCTTCATTCGAGAAAGCCAAGAGATATTCGTCCACAGCGAAGTGGTGTACTGTGGGAAAAAAATTTTGGGTCCTCGGTTCATTGGCTGCCGAAGAGAAAAGTCACTGCCTATATGGAAGATCTCGGTCGATGCCTTGGTTTACGTGGGTAGTTGTCGTTGGGCCGTTCATAGAGAGAGGGGGACGGGATCACCTGGGTTGAGTCGTGAAGAGTGGGAGGAGGGGGGACTGAAAGCGAAACCTACTGTCGGTTCAAATCAAACTAAATCGAAAACATTCGGTTCAGTTTGAATTTGGTTCGGTCAACATTTTTATTAAACCGAACCAACCCGAATCAGCTCGGTTCAGTTTATTTCACCCCTAGTAATCTAGTTATTAGATAAATCTGCGACTTTTATTTTTTTTTATAATTATTAATTTAATTTTTATGAAGTCTGAGTGTTTTTTTGTCCTTCCCCTATTAATTGACTTGTCAATGACGATACAAAATGAGATCTTGTAATGTTGCTTGTAGTCAAACCAACATTGCTCTTTAAAAAAACTATTGGCATCTTAGTTTGCCCCTCTTTCTAATTGAATGGATGACTTTTGTAGCTTTGTTGGTTAGGATATTTCGGTGTCTCGAGTTATAAAAATTTCTTTCTAGAAAAGAATGTCCTTATAAAAATAAAAACATCAAAATTATTTTTAAAAAATAATAATTTATGCATAGTATTTGAAAGATGGACAAAATATACTCCAAAACAATCCCAAAAAAAAGTGGAAATAGAAAATATAAAAGATTTGGATGAAAATACGAAGGTTGGTCTTTAAGGTAACTTTAGCATAAGACATACGTAACTCAAATGGAAAATATAAAGGTCACAGATTAAGGGTACCTAATAGTAGGTAAATTTATAAACTCATTCGGTCAGAGGTTTAAATTCATCTCCCCGCTTTCTTTGTTTAGTACAACAAAATTTTTCCACTTATGACTTGACTCATAAACAAGGTTTTAAATGTCAATGTCAATATCTCAATTTCATGAAAATATCAATAAAATGTCGATATCGATGGATATTTCTGTAAAAGTTAATAAAAATAAAAAAAATCATAAATAAATATTTAAATAAATAAATAAATAAACATTTTTCTATTTTCCTATTTTTAAATTAGTCAAAAATAATCCATCTTAATATTATGTATATATTAGTGACATTTTGTTGATACTTTTCACATTTTGTCGATTTTCTTGTACTATGAAAGAAATGTCGATTTACACCTTATGTCGATGTCGAACTCATGAAAACATGGATATGTCGATGGAAATGTCGACGTGTCGACGAATATTTAAAATCACGCTTATAAATTAACCATTAAATTCCTGACACTTCATTTTCTTTATTTACCATTCATTTATCTATCTTGTATTTTGTATCAATATTTACATTCAAAAACCTTTTGTAGCAGTAAAAAACAAAAACAAAAATCACGTGCAAATAAATACTTTTTTTCTTTTTTTTTTCCCTATTTACATCAATTAAGACTAAATATTACAATATGCTTAAAATTGAAAAGAAAAAGTGAAAATTACAATCACGTTCATCAACTTGTCACCGACAATCCAATAACTATTCTTTTTTACTTTTTATATAAAACAAACAAAACATATACCTTTTTCTTTTTACTACAAAAAACATATACTTTTTTTTTAATTTACTTAAACAACTAGATGAAAATCATATCATAATCAAAATACAAGTAAAAAAATAAAATTACAAAATTCTTTCTCCTTTCTTTCCTTCAAGGACAACAGTGGAGATTCGAACTCACGACTTTTTTGTCAGGGATAAGTACTCTAACCAGCTGAGTTATGTTCAAATTGACTTCTTTTCTTCAACCTTTGAACATGGTCAAAATATACAAAAATAAAATTAAAAAGGTTACTTGAGCATAACTCTACGGTTAATGTATTAATAATCTCTTTTATAAGTTTTTTTTTTTCAATGAGTTTAACGGTTGTAGTCGAATCAGTCGGACTTTTGAAGGGTAATCTCTTTCCTAAATTGAAGGGTCGAATTTCCACCAACAATTGTAATATTATAGTTTATACATAATAACTTTTTTTTAAAAAAAAAAAGGAAAAAACCCTTAACAAGTTAATAGGGAGATGGAAAATATTCAATGGCCTACCAAAGTTGGACAAAGGTAGCCTTAGCTTTTGGGGATATATTTAATCTTCCTATCTACTCTTGTCTTTTGGTTCATTCCCTTCTTATAATACATTTAATCTCTATCTCTTAGATGTGGTTGGAGTTCTTTTTCTCCAACCAAATTATTTATAATATAAATTATCACTTTAATAATCATTCAATAATTTAAACAAATAAAGAATATTTTTTTTAATTATATACATCTAATCACTACGAGAATATAGGCAAGAAAAAAAAAACTAAAAAAACTCTTCGAAGGCCTACGTCCCATGGAAAAAATTGTCCTCGACCTGTAGGTCCTAACACAAGATTAAATTTTAAGTTCTTTCAAAATGGTATCTCACTGATGGTTCGAGCCTTTAGAAGGAGACTCTCTATTTATAGTTCTCGTATAAGTTGAATTATTTGAAATTAGAGTAATCTTCTATGGGTACGTGATTATTTTTTTTTGTTAATTTATTTTTAAATGTTTTTAATAAACAAATATAGGTCACTTCAAATAAATAAATAATAATTAGGGAGGTTTTCTGTTTATTATTATACATAGCTAACTTTTGACTATTTTATTCTAAGTGGTTGAGAAGTATGCATCTTGCACATGTTACACACTCAACATTTAGAAAATTTGACAAATCTACCCCCAATTTTAACTTATTCTTGATGTTTGTACCTCTCTCAGTCATTTAAAACAATGGACAACATGTCTGGTATCCTCTGAAAAAAAGAAGAAAAAAAAATGGTCTGGTCTCTATAATAATATAATATTGTTAATTTCATTTCTAATTCAACGTAGTTTAATTTATAGATTTTACTTACCAATCCTCTTTGTTCATATAGTTAAATGATCTTGGAAAAACTCAATATTTACCCTTAATTTGATAATTAGGTGATACAATTTTTATCTTAAAATTTTAGTTTTATCGAATTAGATATTAGTGTTGCAATTTTCACCGTAGCAGAACTTAACATCACACCAATGTGCGTGTAGATATTTCATCGGATTCTGTATCAATAAATTCAATCCTAATATTTTATTTCTTCGAATCCTAATTTACCTTGAAAGGTAAAAATAGTGTTTTAACTACACGTCGATTAACGCTGTTTATTTATCTTGTGAAATTCTAATCTTCTCTCTCTAGACTCAAAGTATCTTCTCTCTCTATAGATTTAAGTATTTCTCTCTCTTTAAATGAGTACTACATAATTCCCTCTCTCTCTCTTGTTTCTCTCTCTCTCCAATGATGCTCCACGGCCAAGCAAATCAAAATCCGGAGCTCCGGCCCGGCAAAAATGGGCAATACAGAACCCTAATGGCCGTCCTCGGCGGAGCATTGGCCCTATTAATCCTCACCACAATTCCCCTCTCCTTCCCTCTCCTCAATTACTCCCTCGTCCTCCTCAA